TGAGCTGAAGGCAGACGCTTAACGACTGAGCCACCCAGGCGCCCCTACATCATTAGTTTTAGATGTAGTGTTCCGTGATTCATTGTTTGTGCATAACACCCAGTGCTCCATGCAGAACGTGCCCTCTTTAATACCCATCACCAGGCTAACCCATCCTCCCACCCCCCTCCCTGCTATATGTTCTTTAAAACAGCATTTTATCCATTGCACAAAAGAAGCCTAAAATTTCTTGTTACTTAACCCAGATAGAGCAGTTCATTTAGCCAAGGGAGCATTTTTAAAGCAGGCCGAAAAATAATTACGTTTTCTTATTGATTCTTAGTCTTTTCTTATAGTCCTGGCAAAATGTTGAAGTAATTTACTCAGAGTTCATCACCAACATCCTGTTATATAGCTGCTGCTTTTCTGTTCAACATAACTTTTTTTTTTTTTTTAAGATTTATTTATTTTAGAGAAGAGAGTACGAGAGTGCAGCGGGGAGGGGCCGAGAGTCCCAAGCAGACTCTGCACTGAGCTTGGAGCCCCACGCTGGGCTAGATCTCATGACCTTGAGATCACGACCTGAGCCAAAACCTAGAGCTGGCCGTTCAGCCGACTGTGCCACTGAGGCAGCCCTCAGCATAACCTTTGTATTTCCTGCTTGCATTCAGTTTGTAGCCAGTGAGCACCTTTGGAAGGCAGAGATAATGTGATATTCACAGTCACGTTTCATGTGCCCGGTGCATAGTAAATAGTAGACATTTTTTGAATGAATGGATGAATGAATGGATGATTTATCAAGTTTGCCTGTTTTTAGAAATTTTTTTTTAAAGATTTTATTTATTTATTTGAGAGAGAGAGTGCATGAGCGGGGAGGAGGGGCAGAGGGAGAGGGAGAAGCCACCCAGGTGCGCCCCCCCAACCCGTTTTTTGAATTCCCGACCCTGAGATCAAGAGTCACATGCTCTACCTACTGAGCCAGCCAGTCGCCCCCAGTTTGCCTCTCTTCTTGTATTTACTATAATCTTTACTCCTACTTACAGTTATCTTTAGATTAGTATTCTGGAAAAGTAAACAGTGGCTGTTTGATGCTTCCCAGAAGCTTCCCAAATATGGAATATTTGCATAGAAAAGTATAGGGCATAGGGGTGCTAAATGTGGAGTTTGTGGAAGGACTTAAGTGATCTCTGAGTCCCTGAGAAAAATAGGCAGAATTCGGGTTGGGTGAGGGCATTTTTTCTGGGGAAACATGGTTCATGGATATATCAAATTACCAAATGGGTCTGTGGACCCCTGAATGATTAAGAACCAATGTTTCAGAGGTTGTAGGTTTCAATCTTGAAAAGATAAGAACATTATCTAATAATATAAGGAAACCAAATGGCTCTTAAGGAAAAGTAGATGACTATATTAGGATGCTTTCAGTTTCTTTTTTTTTAAGATTTTATTTATTTATTTGGCAGAGAGAGACACAGCGAGAGAGGGAACACAAGCAGGGGGAGTGAGAGAGGAAGAAGCAGGCCTCCCACCGAGCAGGGAGCCCGATGCGGGGCCCGATCCCAGGACCCCGGGATCATGACCTGAGCTGAAGGCAGACGCCCAACAACTGAGCCACCCAGGCGCTCCGCTTTCAGTTTCTTGTGATAGAATATATTTGTTTATGTAACTGAAAAAAAATAAAAACAACTCCAAAATGCTGGCTGCAAGAAATATGGAGTCTAGTACTCAAATAGTACCTTTAATTAGGATTTTCTTCTTCCTTGATCTTTGTTTTCCTTTATATTGGCTTTATTTCTCAGGCATATTCTTTCCATATGTTGGGAAAAGATGTCTATCTGCAGCTTAAGCCTGCTAAATTCTTAGTGTGTGTGATTCCCAAGGAAGAGAGGTAATATTCTTTCTAGTAACTGGCAGATATCCCAGAGAAGAATGACCTGTCTGGAAGATATCCCAGGGAAGAATGACCTGTCTGGATCAAGTCATATGCCCACCACTAGGGAGATGGGAGTCTTCACCAATCCAACTGCATGCGCTGAACAGAATTAGCATGAAACTGGGAAGAAGTTCCAAATGAAGGCAATGTGTGCAGACAAAAAACTTTGTTTACTGTAGTGACTGAAGAGTTTCAGGACAGATTAAGTAATGAACAAAAAAATTTCATATTAAAACTAAGGTATATTTAGTGATATCTAAGGTTTTTTGTGAACTACACATTTTTCTATAGGGGTTTCAGTATTTTTACTCTAAAAGTTTTTTTTCATTTGTTTATTAATTCATTTAACAAATATTTGGGCCATCATCATTGCACTGGGACTATAGGAGCAAAGAAAACAAAAGTCCTTGCCCTGGGGCGCCTGGGGGGCACAGTCTGTTAGGCACCTGACTCTTGGTTTCGGCTCAGGTGATAGTCTTATGGTCACAGGATCGAGCCCTCTGTGGGGCTCCATGCTCAGCAGGGAGTATGCTTAAGATTCACTCTCTCCCTCTGCCCCTCCCACTCGTGCTCTCTCCCTTTCTCTCTCTGAGATGAATAAATAAATCTTAAAAAAAAAAAAAATCCCTGCCTTCATGGAGTCTACATTTTAGTGACGTAAGGCAGATAATAAATAAGATAAATTGCTAAAATTTATAGTATGTTAGGTGAGAGTAAGTGCTGGAGAGAAGAAAAGCAGGGAGGGAAGTAGGGAGTGAGTATTGCAGTTTTAAATATCATCACAAGAAAATCTCATTAAGAAGGTGCATTTATAGGGGCGCCTGGGTGGCTTAGTCCATTAAGTGTCTGCCTTTGCCTCAGGTCTTGATCCCAGGTGCGAGCCCCACAGCAGGCTCCCTGCTCAGCAGGTAGTCAGCTTCTCCCTCTGCCCCTCCTCCTCCTCCTCATGCTTTTGTGTGTGTGTGTGTGTGTGTGTGTGCATGTGCTCTCCTCTCTCTCTGAAATAAAATCTTTTTTTTTTTTAAAGTGACATTTGAACAAAGATGTTAAGGAGGTGATGAGGGGGCAATCCATTTGGTATCTGGAGAAAGAATTCTAGGCTGTAGGAAGCAATTGCAAAGGTTTGGAGTGTTGAAGGAACGGCAGGGTAGCTTGAATCAGATATGTGGGGGTGGGGAGGGGAAGAGTAGAAGAGGATGATGTCAAATAAGTAAGAGTCTAGTAGATTGTGTTTGGTCCTGGGAGGCTGTGGTAAGGACTTTGGGAGAATGTAAGCAATCAGAGGATTTTTTTTTTTTTAAGATTTTATTTATTTATTTAAGAGAGAGAGAATGAGAGACAGAGCACGAGAGGAAGGAGGGTCAGAGGGAGAAGCAGACTCCCTGCTGAGCAGGGAGTCCGATGTGGGATTCGATCTCCAGGATCATGACCCGAGCCGAAGGCAGACAGATGCTTAACCAACTGAGCCACCCAGGCGTCCCGCAATCAGAGGATTTTGAGCAGCGGAGTGAATTGATCTGACTTATTTTTTTTTTTAGTGTTTATGTAAGTAATCTCTACACCCAACATCGGGCTTGAACTCATGATCCCGAGATCAAGAGTCGCTTGCTCTACTGACTGAGCCAACCAGGTGCCCCATCTGACTATTTAAAGGGTCACTCTAACTACTGTATTGAGAATGCACTGTAGGGGCAAGGGTAGAAGTAAGGAGATTAGTTAGGAGGCTGTTGTTCCATTAATTCAGGCAGTAGATAATGTTGGCACAGGCCAGGATGGCGGTGGAGATAATGGAAAAATGGATGGATCTGAAGGTAGATTTGCTAATAGATTAGATATGAGGTGTTAGAGAAAGAGAAGAATCAAAGCTGACTCAAGGTTTGAGCCTGAGCAAGTGGCCACGGTAATTAAATGAGCGAGGTAAGATCAGGAGGAGCAAGCTTTGACATGTGAAGGTTAAGATGCTTATTAGACATTCATATCAGCAGAGTTGTCCAGTAGGCAGTTGGACATACAAATGTTTAATTCAGGTCTAGGCTCGAGACTGGACTAGAAATTTGGAGGTTGTCAGCATATAGTTAGTATTTAAAGCCATGAAACTGGATGAGATCATCAGGGAATAAGAGTAAACAATGAAGGGGCGCCTGGGTGGCTCAGTCGTTAAGCGTCTGCCTTCGGCTCAGGTCATGATCCCAGGGTCCTGGGATCGAGCCCCGCGTCCGGCTCCCTGCTCTGCGGAGGGCCTGCTTCTCCCTCTCCCTCTGTCTGCCGCTCTGCCTACTTGTGCTCTCTCTGTCAAATAAATAAATAAAATCTTTAAAAAAAAAAAAAAAGAGTAAACAATGAAGAGAAGTTGTCCAAGGACTGAGCTTGTGAATGTTAAGAAACTGGGGAGAAGAGGAAGAACCAACAAAGAAGACCAAGAAGCAGCCAGTAACGTAGAAGGAAAACAAACTCCTGGAAGTGAAATTAAAAAAAATATATATTTTAAGGAGTGAGTGATCAGATGTCAGATGATGCTGATAGAACAATTAAGATGAGGACTGAGACTTAGTGATTAGATTTAATAATAATCTTGACAATAACAGTTTTAGTAAATTGAATTTGGTGGAGTTATTTCTAGTAAGTGCTCTTTTTCTCAGGAATTTAAACTCCATAGTTCAGGTAATCTAAAAGACTTTTTATTAACCAAATAATTGTTGAACAGAAATTTATTGACATGTCATCCTTCTTTTGTTCTTCATTTGTTGTACATGTTCTGCATTATATAAAAAACTGTGTCTTCAACTCAGATGAATATGCAAATATGCTAGTTAAAGGATTCATATATTTGGAGTAGGATGAATGTATTTTCTTTGGAATGCCTATTATATGAAGTGGAAACACTTCATAAACTATTTGGTCATGTTTTTCCTTCTATATTTGGAAGGTTTTATAGAGAAACTAAAAAATCAACCTAAGTTGCTGATTCTTAGATCTTTCTGAGTAGTTAATGCCTAATTGTCATTCTTGATACCAGGAAACACAGGAGTTGATAATGTTAAAAAAGTTTCTTTTTTCTAATGAAAATAATGCTTTTCTTTTCTATTAGAAATTCATTGAATTTGAAGACTCTCAAGAACAAGAGAAAAAGGATTTACAGACCCGAGTGGAATCTTTAGAATCTCAAACAAGGCAACTTGAACTCAAAGCAAAAAACTATGCTGACCAGAGTAAGTAAAACCACTTCTTGTCATAAGTACACATTAAAGAGTGGGCTCCAATAGCACAGTGACTCATTTTGACATTTGACTGGGCTTCCAAATATATGCTTGGAATTGTCATCATCCCAGGCTGAAGAGTGAGACCTGGAAGCTAGGTTCAGTTCTTTTTTGTTCAGATTTTCATGTGGTTCTGATGTCTGCAGAAATAACTAAATCAAAGATACCTTTAAGACTCTCTTCTTCAGGGATGCCTGGGTGGCTCATTCGGTTTGGCGTCTGCCTTTGGCTCGGGTCATGGTCTCGGGGTCCTGGGATCGAGTCCTGTGTCGGGCTCCTTGCTTAGCACGGAGCCTGCATCTCCCTCCCCCTGCTTGTTCGCTCCCTCTGTGTGTGTGTGTGTGTGTGTGTGTGTCTTGGGCAAAGAAATAAATAAATCTTAAAAAAAAAAAAAAGACTCTTCTTCAGTTTAGCTCTCAGCTTTTGTAGTTAACATTATGCTATATCCATTATGCAGGATTCTGGGGTGTGTGCATGTGGATCATTTCTTCTGATTTTGATCCACTACACTGAGTTCCATAGCTTTCTGTATTGTTTTGAAATTTACAAATGTGACAAAAATGCTAGCTCTGAAGTATGTATAAAAAAATTACTGAATTCTAGGGACACCTGACTGGCTCAGTTGGTAGAGGATGTGACTCTTGATCTCGGGTTTGTGAGTTTAGCCCTACCTTGGGCACAGAGTTTACTAAAGAAAAAAAAAATTACTGAATTCTCTTTTTCGTTCTTTTTTAGTGGAAGACTGAGGGAGTGTAGGGGAACAAAATATCATTTTTCAGAATTATTTCATTTTTAATATAATTTCATCTTATTCTTGATTTAAAAAGAACTATTGTTTCAAGCTCCAAGGATGATTTCTCTTTTTGGCTAATGAATTGGACCTAATTAAGTCAAAATTAGAAAAAGAAATGGGGAGAAACTTTATGGCCTGTTTTCATGTTTGATTTGGGCAGGCAGAGAGCTCTTCAGTTTTCTCTCTTGGCACTGTAAACTTTCAGAATCTTGGGAGCACGAGATGAGGACCAGCAGTCTTCCTACATCAACCATTAAGGCTACATAGTGACACCTGCTGTTAAAGATAGGAATTCATGGTGGATAACCTTCATTCATTACCAGGCTTGGAGTGTGTGATAATTGACTGCCCCCTCTAGTACTTTGGAATGGCCTAATAGAGCTAAACCTCGAATCATTGGGAATCCGGAGTTCAAGCATTATCGAATTCAAGGAGAACTCAAATGGCTTTAAGCAGATGTCATGGAAGGGAGCCAGTGGATGTTTGGTAACAGAAGCCAACTACAGTGAGACAAAATGAGCCATGTATCACGTCTTTGAACATTTAGGCTTGTAGATACCTAGAGTGCTCTAGCCTTCCTTTGTTCACATTGAATATATCAAATAACTTCTGTGATTTTACTATAGAAATTTAAGGTCTTAGAGAGCTGGATGATGGACTCCACAGTGCAAGCACTAACAAATACATTACACTAACAAATCTATTACTAGAGTCACATTGCTATGAGTACCACTCATCTAGAGAAACAGTCTTGTGGCAGTTGCTAGCTTTTGGTACATTTCAAGAGTTGAGCATTCTCTATTCAAAGAAGAAGAAAAATAGCTATTGGAGATAATATTTTAATTCCAACTTGATTGTGTTTTCATATCAGAGATTTTATAGTATTTTAGAACCAGACACTATAAAGACACAGTTGACAGAACCAACCTCATTGTTTTACTTTATTGTATTTTCCTCTTGATTCCTGAAGAGAACCAACTTTTGGATAAGGACATTTTCTTTTAACTTAGAAGGGAACTTCTTTTCTAGAATCCTTTTATACATTAAGTAATCTGTTTCAATGATAAGGGAGATATTATAGGACGAATTACCTGAAACCATCTTTCTGACATTCAAAGGAGATACTTCTAGGGCATCTTGGGTGGCTCAGTTGGCTGAGCGTCTGACTCTTTTTTTTTTTTTTAAGATTTTACTTATTTGAGAGAGAGAAAGAGTGAGAGAGAACACGAGCCGGATGAGGGGCAGAGGGAGAAGCGGACTTCCTGCTGAGCAGGGAGCCCCATGCAGGGCTCGATCCCGGGACTCCAGGATCATGACCTGAGCCAAAGGCAGATACTTAACTGACTAAACCACCCAGGAGCCCAAGTTGGGCTCCACACTCAGCGAGGAGTCTGCTTGAGATTCTCTATCTCCTTCTGCCCCTCCCCTTGCTCATGCTGTCTCTGTAAACAACCAACCAAAGAAATAAATAAAATCTTGATAACTGCTGCTTTTTTCACAAAGGTCACTAAATGGAATGATTTACTAATTTTTTTCACATACACTTTATCCCTTTTATTACTAAAATTTAAAAAATCTGTTTCCTGTTCCTTTCTTATAAATGTAAACAAAATAAAGCAGGCTTTTAATTAAGATTTGTTACCCAGACTAGTGAGTCATATCCAGCTTTTTGGAATTGTTATGCTCTGTGGTATCTATCCTTTCATTTCTCTCTCAGAAGTACTGATTACTAGTGTTTTCCATCTTAATTTAAAGTAATTTTTAAAAATAAGGTATCATTTAAAAATGATTTCTAATTCTCTAGGCAAGGGATGAGGAAATCCTTCAAGTAGATATGGTCTTTGAGCTAAATTTAATCTGAAAACTTTATTTTTGTCATTAATACAATATCCCACCAAGAATTTCTCCTGGGAGTTTGCCATCCCATTTTGAAATAAATCTTGGTGTCTAAATAATCGTTGAGAAACTTAAAACTGGGGTGCCTGGGTGGCTCAGTCAGTTAAGCGTCTGCCTTCGGCTCAGGTCATGATCCCAGGGTCCTGGGATCGAGCCCTGCATCGGGCTCCCTGCTCAGTGGGGAATCTGCTTCTCCCTCTGACCCTCTCCCTGCTTGTGTTCCTTCTCGCTGTCTCTCTGTCAAATAAATAAATAAAATCTTTAAAAAAAAAAAACCAACTTAAAACTGGTTAATCAAAATTGACCATTCAGATGCACAAAACTCGTAACACCAAATCTCTTGGTCTATGAGCTGAGACTGTAGTGAGTCTTCTTTTACTAATGCTTTGGAATCTTACTCCCTTTTCCTTTGATACCTTGGAATCTTTTTCTCTCTTCCATCTAATTGCTTTCCTCTCTCTTCCTTCTGTTTTTCTTTAAGCCTTAACTGGGTATAATATGAAATCTAACTGTATCTTAAAATTTTCTTCCACGTCTTCATTTTACCACATTTAAATATCTGAAAAAAATGTGTGTGTGGGAGAAATGTTTGACTATTTTTTTCATTTTACTTTCTTAGTTTTCCCTCCCTCAAATCTCTTAATATTAGTCAAAGCTCCTTATTTTTATTTATTTTTATTTTTATTTATTTATTTGGAGAACAAAGCTCCTTATTTTTAAAAAAAGTAGAGGTAGAAGGTAATCTTTAAGTATCACCAATGCCTTATCCTTTTGGGAAACCAGGACTGGGAATATGTTTTTTAAAAGATGAAAACAAATGTAAATAGGCGTATGTCAGAGTATGTGAATTCTTTTTTATATGATAAGCAACAGAATATCTGGACTATTTAATTTTAGTTCTATCAGTTTTTTAAAAGTATATCGTGTTTTTTTGTTAAAGTTACTGTAACGTGACATCTGTTTTTATTTTCATTGTCTTAAACTTTTAAAATGTTTTGAATGTTTTTTAGTGTTCCTGACATCTGTTTTTAAATAAACACTTCTTTAAGGCCATAGAATTTACTGATAATGATAATAGAGGAAGGATGGGTGCAATTTTTTCTGTTTAGTGCCATTTTTTGCATACAATGTGATAACAGTATCTTGTCCAATTTCCATGTTTATATTTGTATGTTAGAGTCTTTAATTTTAAAGACTGTCAATTCTAATTGATAGATGTTTTAGGGCACATATCCTCTTTAAAAAGTAGCCACAGTAAAAGTCCAAGTTCTGCTTTGAAGATGACTTCCTATGTTAAAAGGGGAAATTTTGGTTGTAGTTACTTGGTATTTGAGAAGCAAGAAAACGTCAAGAAATAGGAACTGAATGAAGGACATAGTTTGGAATCATCAGGTTGTGGTATGATTTCACAATATTGAGAAGTTGAGTCTATAAACATTTTGTTAACAGTTTTGTGGTCATGTTTGATTTTGGAGATTTTCTAGTTGCTCTCTTTTCAAAATTTGAACTATGTAGGATATGTTTTTGGTTTTTCCAACATGAATGAAAGATTTTTAAAAATGCTGTTTATATGATTTCTTGTCTGGGAGTAACAATAATACTTCTTTGTAGTTAACATCTTGTGAGCCTTAAGGAGGAATCTGAAACATACATGGAGTGAAAAAAACAAAATTGTGGGGTGAGAAAGGCTTATTGGTTCTTGACAACTATGGAAGGAGTCTATAATCAACCTTGCTATTCATGATGTGGCAGTAATGGGTTCTTTGTCACAAAAATACTTTATATTCATTAGTTCTTTTGTTGTATATTGAGTATTTCTATCTTGTAAGCCAAATATTATCTTAAATGAGTCAGGTAAATAAAGACATTTCAATATATTTAAAAATATTATACTACTGTATGCCTAGCATTTAGCTTGGTAGAGAAGACTATGTTTGTAGTACAGAAGAATATAATATGGTCGCTGCAGTCAAACAAATCAGTATTGTGGGGGAGAAGGTTGTGTATGACCTTCTAGTCTTTTTTTCCATATATACTGTGTTTTTATATCACTGCAGTTAGAATGTACATATAATTTTTTATCTTTTCCTTAACACTATTTCTCTTGTATAATCTTTATTCTTTTTTAAATATCTGCCTATACTCATCATCCAGAAGCTATGCCATCTATTATCAATTCTTATTTTCTCTGGGATGTGTTTTCTCCTTTAGTGAGAATTATTTAATGGTCACTTGTCTTTTTACCTTGACTACTTGAAACTCA